TTGTCATCTAGCCTCAAAGGATGCACTGACATAGATCTTGCACACCAATTATGACCAGAGCTTTGAGGGCTAGATTACAAGATCTGGTCATGATTGGTGTGAAAACGTTATGTCAATATATCCTTTAAGGGCTAGATTACAAGATCTGGTCATGATTGGTGTGAAAGATCTATGTCAGTGCATCCTTTGAGGGTAGATGACAAGATCTGGTCATAATTGGTGTGAAAGATCTATGTCAGAGCATCCTTTGAGGGCTAGATGACAAGATCAGGTCATGATTGGTGTGAAAACGTTATGTCAGTATATCCTCTGATCTTTCACACCAACCATGACCAGATCTTGTGATCTAGCTATCAAAGGATATATCTTGTAGCTGCTAACAATTCACATAAGAAGACCCTGTGATCTAATAACTTGAGATACATACAAATTGTTACAACTCAACATCTGCCGAGGACACATCACTAAAGATGACCACTGCAACCCTTGCAAAATGTTGAGCAGTATCTATTGAAGGGATGGCATACACAGCATATATTCCTCAGAAATAACAAGAGGCTTTCTAAATAATCAAAAATCTTTATTCACATAAATGAATAATTATTGTCAATCAAAACGATAATAGAACACGTTTTGAAATTTGAGCTCCACAGTTGGGCACTTATTTCCCCATTTTGGCAGGTTTAGACTATACAGTATGTTATATCAGAAAATATTGATCTCCACTGACTATTTCCACAAAGCAAGGCACTGTCTAATATGAAAATACTGATTAAAAATACATCAAGGGGTATCTGAAGTGTGGATACTTTCCCTTAAAAAATAGATATATCATATATTATTACTGGTTTCAGATAAATACTGTCTTCATCATAAAAGTAGTTGCAAACAAACATTTGTCCAAAATATGCAAACTGACTTTCAGACACCAAGCTGATATTGTGCAAAGCCAGAGAGAGTTGTCTTCTCTTGAATACTGAAATTTTTAGAGGAAGGTCATATTGACCTGTCCACTACAGTTCTTACAAACAGTTAATGGGTTATTGCAACAGCTCGCACTTGCCTGAAGTAATTTACTCACAAGGTGTATGAGTGGATTTTGGGAGTTAAATAATTAAGGTTGGCTGTTTCACTCATAGTTGTATGTGTCCAATATCAAGAAGAGGTTAATCCGGGATTGAGAAAGGACAGGATAAACACCATACCCATATCATAAATATTACAATCCAACCACAGGTTATATGTTCTAAATCTACTGAGAGTGGGTATGTTGGGCTTAATACAGCTTTCAACAGTATTTCAGTTATACAACGGCATGTTGGCTTGATATGAGAAATATAGCTTGAAGGATGCAGGCTTCAGACCATTCTGGTGAAGTGTGGGCATAGTGTTGACAAACCTTGACATATTATCGGGGATTAAACATAGTGCAAAATTCACAGTAAGTTTTGAAGTACATTTGCATTTGATAACATTTATGTGATTGTTTACAACATGTACATATCAGATATTTGATGTTACAAAATTAAACCATTGTTTCAAATACATGTAGATTTCTTGCTATATCTTGAAACAAACCAATAAAATACTCCACTATGCATACATACAGTGTTAAAAAAGAGACATTATATTGAACCATCAGACACAAGGAGAGTAAAATATTTACAACTGGTGGACGTGGACATTGTTCACATTTGACTCTTGATCATCTTGAGGTCAAGATATCGGACAGAATAGCTGAATGAGTATGGTTTGGGGTCACTTTTAGCTCTGTTCCAGCAATAATCTAGTGGGGATACCTGTACTGGACTTCAACCAATGTAAAGAATCAAATAAGATCTTTTGGCAGGATGGGCAAACACTTTAACCACTAGGCTACCTCACCGCCAGGTATACCAACAGTTGTAAGACTGATAATCAGCTTGCTGATGTTTACTGAGCAACCATGGGTGATGATTAGTCTGAATCTTGGACCATCACATCGTGGTCTCCATCCGACCATAAAGTGAGCTGCAGTACCTTCAGCAACCAGAGCTGAGTGACTGACTAACTGAGTTTGGTTTTACGCCGCTTTTAGCAGTATTCCAGCAATATCACGCCGGGGGACACCAGAAATGGGCTTCACTCATTGTACCCATGTGGGGATTCAAACCCGGGTCTTCGGCGTTACGAGCCAACTCTTTAACCACTAGACTACCCCACCGCCCCTCAGCAACCAGAGGCAGAGCAGAATTTATCAAAACGATGTTCCTCAGTAACAAAAAGGCCCTTTTGGTTATTTTGCTGAAGAGTTCAAATGTCATTTCCAAAGGGGGGTAATTTATTAACAGTCAGATATATTAAATCCAATACATTCTATATGGCACGGAATGGACATAAAGCTGAACCATACCAGCACGGCAGGTTTGTAAGGAAGGCACGATACAGTACACACTGAACATGTTTACACAGATACCATAACTCTGAACATAAACATATATATACAACATGTCTCATACAATCAATCATCCCTTCACCACGGAATCCTTTCGTTTGTAAGAAAGTTGTCATTCAAATAAGAACAGAATTGGAAAATGAACAGAGTATTGCATAAAAAAAATCAAATACACATTTTGCAAAGTGTTTTTATCAATTGAAGGATTGTGCAGTAAAATTAAGGCAGTTGGGATTAAAACTGCTTTGAAGTGTATTCCTGTTCTATCAAGGCACATAAGCAGGACAAGCCCTACAAGTAATGCAGGTCTCAGACTTTCAGCATGGTGGTGCCCAATACAAATTTTGCCTTAAGTTGTATTTTAGAAGAAAGACAACCCCTTAAAAAAACTTGAATGTAACATTTTTCAGCAAAATAATTAATTATACAGATAAATTCATTTTCTGTGTCCGTCTATTGCCAATACAAGGTTAACAATATCTTGAGTTAACAATATCATCAGCATATGTGGTTTAACATTAATTTTATCTGGAAGTCAGTATGTCCCTGTATCTTGATAAGAAAGTTGTAAGTAAACTGGGGGTACCCCCTTACTGCATTTTACAAATGATGACTGAAAGTCAAAACTCTTCATAATGAGCCTCAGGGACCACAGGATTCAGTTAGATGTCTTGAAATGTGTAATAAACAGAGAGGTGAATTAGTATTGGGCCACCTTTAGCAGCATCTTACAATATCCTCGTGGGGACACTAACACCAGGCTTGGACATTACCAACAACAGGAATCGAACCCAGGTGGTGCCATGTGAACGCTTTAACCAAAAGGCTAACTCGCTGTGTCTGATGAATAAGTATCAAAATCTGTCATGTTAACTGAAAAGAAGGGAACATATATCTTGGATATCTTTGATTACACAATACAATCCATATACCATTTTGAGAGGAATGTAAATTATTTTGACAAATTCCAACACCATGAAAAGAAAATGAGTTGAGTGAGCAGTTATAATGAAATGTCCACTATACTTTAAACATCCTGTTCAAGCAAAACAGCATCAACATTTTCAAAAGAGATTTTTCCATGTTCATTCCCAATTCATTTCATCATTTTGATCATCAAAAGTACTTCTAAATAACAGCCATGAATATATAGCATAAAATATTTGCACAAACATGGACAAAAAGCACATACAATATCAAAGAAAAGGAAAACAAGTTTAATTTGTACCAAAAGATTTTTCGCATAATGAAAAGCTTCATCCCGTTTCACATATTTAGTTCATGTGAGACCAGTAAATAGTGAGACTACAGCTGTCCCATCACAAGAACATCAGGAAGTGACATTTCTGGCTCTTGGCTGTGTTTCGCGAGACTTGGGTTAACACAACTTAAAACAGAATTGCAGTTAGATCACAGCGTGTCCCAAAAGTGTGGGAGGGAACTAAAATAGATTGAGTTGGGAGAATTGTACAGACACACACAGAGAATTATACTGATTTGAAATCTTGAGTGCTTTTATGCTGCTTTTAGTAAGATTCAAGCAATATTATGGTGAGGGACACCAAATATATGTTCACACATGGTATGCATGTAGGGAACTGAACCCAGGCTTTAAGTGTGAAAAGAGAACACTTTAACTACTAAGCTACCCAACTATCCCCTGAACTAATGAAGGAGGGTAGAGTAAGGGACCATGCATAGTACACTGACCTCAGGCTACTTGACCATTACAACATAGGCATAATGAATAAAAGTCATCTTTACATCCCACCCTTACACAGAACTGTCACTTCCTGTGTTACTATCAACATGCAGCAGAGATGTCAATAAAAATACAAGAAACAGAAAATAGAAACCATTGTGTCATTATGAATTTTATATACTCTAGACATGCGTTGTGATGGTCTGGGGGTATATGCACCATGACAGCCTTGAACCTTGGTAATGAGCAGACACTGGTGACCACATATACAAGAGCCTGTTGTCTATCTGTCCTTGAATAGGTAGGCACAGAATGGTAGGAAACTTTCTAGCATCACAAACAGTGCTGGAGACCAGATTCACTTAGTGATTGTAGTGTTTGACATGGACCTATCTCTACATATGTATTGTGAGTGAGTGAGTTTATGGCCGCTTTTAGTAATATTCCAGCAATATCACGGCAGGGGAAACCAGAAATGGGCTTCACACATTGTGCCCATGTGGGGAATTGAACCCAGGACTTCGGCGTGACGAGCGGACGCCTTAACCACCAGACTACCCCACCACCCCACAAATGTATTGTGGATCAGGCAGCTGGATGCTTAATACTCTTAAAAAGAAAACACAATACTGGAGGTACCAAACATGTCATAACTCTTTGATAAATTTAGCACATAAACTGAGAGTGTGAGTATGGTTTTACACCACTTTTAGCAATATTCCAGATATATCATGGCGGTGTAAACTGAGATCGGTGTTAGTTTGTTCTGTGTAAGTTTATACAATTTCAAACTAAATGATTGCTGGATGTTTTAGCAGTGTTACAAAATGATGCTTTGGGATATTAATCTAAGCACCTTTCAAATTTCGAATTTTTAACATTACAGTTATGACAGGGACCCCTTGGTCAGCCTGTTTCATACACTGAGTGTATGCATATTATCTGCCTGGTTTTCTGGTGTATAATGCATATGTGAATAAGACACATGCAATACACCCCATTACACATCTGGTTAGAATATGTGCATGTAATATGCCCTCTATTCTGTCATATTATATCAGATAGACTCTTGAGTAAGGTGAACATTTGGTAAAAAGAACACACAAAAATGTTACCATTCCTTCCCCACTATGGCACTACATATTGTTTCACAACACACTTAGAACTGCAGGGTAAAAAACACATTTTCTATAGCTCAAGTCTGCAAGTTTAGCCAATAGTCTGAGCCCAAGTCATGTAAAATTCAGGTTGGTGTAATAAGTTCAACTAAAGCAAATCATCTAATAACACTAACATATATGAAACATTATGCTTAGAGCAAAAATTGGGCAAGCAGTTTTAAACGTCTTTGCCACAGATTGTAGATTAAACATTTCAATAACCCAAAATCAATTGAACCAAGTTGTTTGTTCATAAACAAAGAAAAACAAACTGTCAACCATGTACATTAATTCGACATGTATTAACTAAACAACCAAAAGGTGACAAAAGGCTAAAAGAAAATCATACATTCTCAGTAGGTAAGTAGTTTTGAGAAAATTATTATGATGTCACGGGCACATGGCTTGTAATATATTTCAGAAAATTCAAAAACTGATTTATTTGCTAAGAAAATATCACAAGGTATTAAGCACAAAGTTAGCACTGTAGAATGCTTGAAAACCCCTTTGGTGCATTGACAGAGACGAGTTTGCATGGTTACTTGATGACTGTTGCCATAGTTACAAGGTCTTAAGCATCAAAACGCTGATAGGGGGTATCATCTTTCATCAGACCTGAAAACACAGAGAAAATATATTAAGGAAGACATTTTTATGGAGCAAATATGGCTGAAATGAATCTCAAGGTGATCTGATTCCTGAACATCTCCCTGACTCATTTCATCCCCGACTCTGTAACTTATTCTGTGTCGATGACAGAGTCAGCATCTACACCGAAATGTTGCATCCAATGCAATAAAGAAGTTGTCTATCCATAAAAATTGATCCTCTTCATCACACCAGCTTCCAAAGAGAGAGAGAGAGTTTATTCGCATAATGGCCTCATGGCCCAGAGTACCAAAAATACATAACTTAAAAGAAAATATGTAAAATACATAATTTTTTGTTTGTGTGTATTCAATACATATACATAAATATAGTACATCTATATATAGCAGTCAAACAGGTAGATTTCTCTTCAGATAGATTGCTAGACTTTTAAGAACATTCACATTTTTGGTGCATAACAACTGCTTAAACTTAAAGACAGATTGATGTACATGTATATGATAATATCCAGGTATAAACTGCATCCTACTTGTATGGTAATAAGGACATACTAATAAAAAGTGGTATTCGTCTTCTACGACATCTAAATGACACTTGATACATATCTACATTGTCTTTATTGAAACGCAATTGTTGGACACCCTATTTGTGCGATAAGTAACTATATTTACATAAAATACGCCTCAAGTCTCTATTAGTGTACAACGCAGTTATATACACTTCTGTTTCCAAAACTGACTTGTACGATGAACAAAATTTAAGAAAAGAACTACTACCAATATCACTGCTCCAAGTTTGGAAACAGATATCCTTGCAGCATTGTTTAAACGTTGTCATAAATACATCTACGTTGCAAGAGGCCTGTGTAATCCACACAAAAGAAAATCCAAATTTAAACATTTGTTTGACAGGAAAGCTCGCTTTCATTGCTGTTAACGAGTTTCACAAGCTTTAGACCATACTAGCCTTGAGGAAAATATGACACCCAAATACTTATAATTATAATAGCTAACAACTTTCATTTCCTGACCATCATAAAACCATTTCTCTGTACTTCTAAGATAGCCACCATTTCTAAAAACAATAATTTGAGACTTATCTAACTTCACCTCAAGAAGGGGCGGTGGGGTAGCCTAGTGGTTAAAGCGTTGGCTCATCACGCCGAAGACCCGGGTTCGATTCCCCAAATGGGCACAATGTGTTAAGCCCATTTCTGGTGTCCCCCGCCTTGATATTGCTGGAATATTGCTTAAAGCGGCGTAAAACTAAACTCAGTCAGTCAGTCAGTCACCTCCAGACCCCATTTCAAACAAAATTTATGTAGGAAATGTAATTTTCGCTGCAGCCCTACGACAGAATCATCTACCAAGATGACATCATCGGCAAGAGCAGCAGTAAAATGTCGTCCAGTTCCAATTTGACAAATATACCCTTTATACCACTATTTTGCATTTCCTCTACTGACTCATTTATAAAAAATATAGACAATACCAGACTCAACATGCACCCTTGTCTGACGCCATGTGAAGTTGTGAATATATCCGACCTATTACTGCCAACTCGGACGCACGCTTTGACCTTATTATACATGTCTCTTAAGAGCCTAAAGATCTTACCATGAACACCTTTGCTTAACAGTACATACAGTAACTTATCTCTATCTACTAAGTCAAAGGCCTTGCGAAAATCAATAAATGAAGCATAAAACCTGTGACCAGGTTTCCTTAGGTACTTTTGGACAAGCAGCTGTAGAATGAAAATATTATCAAATGTTGAGTAGCCATTTCTAAAACCTGCCTGTGACTCGTGTAAAGTTTTGTTTAAGTCCAGCCAAACTCGAATACGTGAATCTAGAATACTAGTGAATATTTTACCCATTACACTTAATAAAGAAATTCCCCTGTAGTTGTTTGGGTTATGCCTGTCACCCTTCTTATACAAAGACACTATGACTCCAACATTCCAACTATCCGGGAAAATCCCATTATCCAGCACTGCATTAAATAACATTTCTAAGTATAGAACAATCATTGGAAGAAACTTATAAAACTCTGGAGGGATACCATCCATGCCAGGAGCCTTTCCACACTTCAGAGAATCTAGTGCCTTCATAATTTCATCCTGATTTATAGGATCTGAGAGAAAATCTGGTTCCCTACAATCACTACATTGCTCAATATCATGGGATTTTACACATCCTTCAACACACTTATCAAAAGCTGTTGATGGTAGCGTGACAGGATTTAATAAATTCATAAAATACGTGAACCATGTGTCAACTGATATATTCACTTGAGAGGCTGTTGAACGTAAAAGAGACTGTACTTTACCCCAAAAGACCTTATTATCTTTCGTTTCTACAGCACCTTGAATATCGCCAATAACAACTCGTTTGTGTTGCAACTCCTTGTCACGACATAATGTACGGAAGGATTTTTTGGCGGCAAGGTAGTTTTGTAGACAGACACCAGACCTAGCACGTCTAAACTGATTTAATTGATAGCTTCCAAATGCGACTCAAAGAAGTGATTCTATGTTGTGTTTTTCAGCTACCTGGATTTAGCCTATGCTTGTCCCACAGGGCAGCTTAGTATGTGACTACATGAGCTCAGTGACTACCCAGATGCATTCTTGATAGTCTCCAGGGTGTACGTTCCAATAAATCTCCACTATATCGGAACGGATACCCTGCAGATTATCGAGGATGACCATGATGATGTGGGCCGACATTCATATAGACAAGGGGCTTCTCTCGTCAAGACTTGTCGTGGACAATGGACAGTCAATTTGCTGAAATACTGCTGAAGGTGTTACACAACGAGTGATGTTTCAGCAATGTCAAGAAGCCTCGGAAGGCAACACTGTCTGGAGTGTGTGATACTTGACATTAACTCTTGATACTTGGCACCCATTGTGTTCCAGGAATCCCTACAGACAGAAGCATGGGTAGTCATGATGCTGGCGACCTATTCTTTCCCTGAGAGAGACAAGCATGCATATTCATGAGACTGAGATTTCTGCCCTAGGAACCCTCAAAGTGACAAGCACGGGTGTTCATTATGATGAGAACCAAAACAGGAATTCTCTCAGAGATAAGTATAGTTGTTGATTATACAGGGGGCCTATTCTGAACCAGGAACCCTCACAGAGACAAGCATGGTTGTTCATTATACTGAGGGCCTATTCTGACCCAGGAACCCTCACAGAGACAAGCATGGTTGTTCATTATACTGAGGGCCTATTCTGACCCAGGAACCCTCACAGAGACAAGCATGGTTGTTCATTATACTGAGGGCCTATTCTGACCCAGGAACCCTCACAGAGACAAGCATGGTTGTTCATTATACTGAGGGCCTATTCTGACCCAGGAACCCTCACCACCACTTTACATATTCTGTGTTCGTAGGGAAGTACCGAGGTTACTGACATCAAACTCAAAGATTTCCCCAAAAACAGAAAAAGACCAGAGCATTGATAATATTTTGTAGTTGAAGAAAACAGACACATACTGTAACAGGCAAAAGAATGAAAATATACTTATGCATCACTATAGCACAGACAATTTCAGAACTATATAATATTTAAGGATGATGCTAAAAACTTGAAATGAATAAACATGTTTGGTACATGATGACTCATAATTACAGGCCCTTTCAAGGCACTCATCTCAAACATATGTAATTTTTAAAGTAATTTTAACTACCATTCGAAGAGAAAAGGGAGATAAGCAAAAGATCATGAGTCAGGATAAGGAAAAATGTTAGTTATAAGATGACATCCTTATCTGATTTACTTCCTTCCTTGTTTTTGAATATTGTGTTGCGTAAGTTTTACACATCATAACAAACAGGATATAAAACATAACAAAAGGTTGAAACTGTAAAATGTGAATTCCATAATAAGTTCTGGAAATTATCCCCCATCTCCACCCCACCCCTATACCCCTCAAAAAGTTTTAACAAATAAAACAACAAGAAACAGACAACAGTCGTCCAGGTTTTCTAATAAAATACAACGGAACTGAACTTAAGAACTTTCAACCACAACATATAGAGAGGAGAGTCCTCTCTTCAATATCCTGTAAAAATGGTAACTCAGATAACTAAAGTAATTCAACTAAAATACAGCAGAAGGCAAGATGAATGTCAAAACTCCAAAGAACTTATTCAAAAGAAATCAAAAGAATTTGAAAAAAAAGTTGGAATAAAATGTCATTCTCAAACAAACATATCAATAATAGCATCTATAAAGTTTCCATGACAACAAAATAAATGCACATAAGGTAACGAAATGAAAGGTATCAGCTCACCACACAACTAAAGAGGTGAAACAGGACGTTCTCATATGCATCTTATGCAAACTTACCTCTGAAGCCAATTCCTATGAGGTGCATAAAGGTAGAGAAGTATATTTATACGATACATAAAAACTTTTATGCAAAGGTATGTTGATAAAGATATTGACACTGACATTGTGGTTAGAAACAACAGATTCAACAAGATCTGAAAAAAACTGTTTCCATGGCAACATAAACATTATATTTTCCCCAAACCACAATATTATTACAATTGGTTGGAGGATTCATATTTGTGTGTACCAACAGTACGGGAATGGTGCAGACAATTGGAGTAAATGATCACTTACATCCATAAGCAGCAAATCCTGGCAAAGCAGGGGAAATAACTCCGGTAAATTGTGTCATCATTAACCATTGGGCCACCTCAGCATCCCTAAACTTTGGACTTTTATCATGTGTGGGCCGAGTATCAAATCACAATATATTCAATAATGTGAAAAATCTTTAAAGCAATGACTTCATGTAATAATCGCTGACAGTCAAGCATCAACATTCTTTGTCATCTTGATAAGCAGTTACTGTGGTCATATACAAAGACTTGTCAAAAAGTAAATTCATGGACAGCTTACACAGAATCTAATAGATTATATACTCTTTTATAAGAGCTGATAAGATAAACACTTCATGATATTGCCTTGACCTTACAAGTGCACAGCAGTGCTGAGTTGGGTGAAGATGTTAGTATTGGTTTCACCTTTACACAATTACAAAATTAATACGATGATTCACGGACGTGTAGTGGAAACCATTGGCAGATATATAAGATTAATTACAATGAATCTGAATATGGTACGCTTAAAGTAACAATTTGTTGATAATACAACTGATCATAAGGCAATGAAGCTTGTCGATCTATGAGAGTCTGATGTCCAATGACAATCAACATCTTCCTGACAGCTTTTTTGCTGACCCTAAGACAGGTATTTTCACACTTGACCATGTTTACTCCACTCAATCCTGTTTGATTTTATTTCAAGGCATGATATTAAATATTAAAACCAGGATTCAATGGAAATTTACTGTGAAAATGAACAGTGACGGGTAGTGTAGGGTAAAAAGCTAAACACATAATGTGACCAGATTCTTGTTGTCATTCTCCGTTTGTTTTCAGAGATATAATTCAAACTGCTAAATCAATTTCATACTCAAAACTCATAAGTCTAATTAAATTTAGTGATAGCAATCAGTTACGCTGTTATGATTGTGATCTGGTCAACACATTTTATATAAAAGTGCTGAATTTGCAAACTTGGGGAAGACTAAAATAAAGGATTTCAGGCACTGTGTTTTCCATGCTGACTTTGGACAGAAGTTAACAATGCCTGAGAACCTTTTATTTCAATCTTAGTCAAATGAAGATACCAACCTAATTCAGTTTAATCTTTCTGCAGTCCTTTATAATTCAAAATTGTCATGTTAGTACATGGACGAAAATAACGTCTGATGGAAGGAAGTATTTAATACTACATGGGAGCCATGAAATGATACTCAACCCCTAAAAGTACTACAATTTGTCTTTACTAAGAAAGTGTTAGCCCAAACATAGCATGGCTTACATCTGAAACCTTTCCAAAAGGAATCATGTATCAGTCTTTTGGCCATGAGATGACATCTGGCACTTATCAGAAGGTACACAAAGTACATACCAGTTGTCAGGCGGATCCTACTTTTGTGGCAGTCACAGTGGCTGAGTGGGTTAGATTGCTGGTGATTAGGTGCAGGTTTTTCAGAGCAATCACTTTTCTAAAACTAACATCTAAATGTCCTCAAGAGTTTTATCAAAGTTTGATTATGATATAGAATTTTGTCCTTCAAAAGTTGAAAAAATCATGAAAATGTGTGTGCGCGCCGTCTGCTCCAGCCAAATTGTCAGTGTTCCCATGAACAGCAAATAACCAAGATGATTGTGTGGCAATGTGATACGTACCGTATTTCTTCCTGATTTCATCCATCCGTTCCTTCCTGTCTGCCTTCCTCTCTTCACTTCTCTGCTTACGCTCAGACTTCTGTCGTTCCCATTTAGCTTCATCCTTAATGTACCTGCAACAGACAGTTTCCATAGTAACCTGTACAATCACGTGAAGGACACAATGTCCTGAATGCGATGACATGTGTCAACCAAGGCAGCGAGCCCGACCACACGATCCTGTTAGTCGGGTTACTTACCTGGGGCTCTTTTCACGAAGCAAGCTTTACTAAGGTTAACCTTAACTTCCATTCTTTAACATTGCACTAAGGTTACCTTAGTGCTTTGTGAAAGGAGGCCCTGGATTTTCACGAGGGATTAGTCTGGAAACCCACCTGACAGGTGATAACAGTTTGAACATCTATGAATACTACACACAGAAGTAAAAGAACATCTGATTTTACCAAACGACCATTGTTAATCTGCCATAGTCATGATCACATTTTTGTCATTTGCATAAATTCGACAAATGAAGACCAACTAATACTTTACTGAGAAATCTGAAAAAATCTGAGAAATACTTTATTGAGTGTTGGGGACACATACTGTCCCAGGTCTCTTTAGGTCTATTCCACAGCAGCCCAGGGGCCAATGGGGTAGCCCAGGGGATAAAGCGTTCTCTCATCACGCTGAAGACCCAGGTTTGATTCCCACATGGGAATAACGTGTGAAGCCCATTTCTGGTGTCCCCCGCCATGATATTGCTGGAATATTGCTAAAAGCGGCGTAAAATCATATTCACTCACTCACAGCAGCCCACACAAACAAGTGCTGGGTGTTCGGTTGCTGTGCCCATCCTGAATACATAACCCCTGAGACAACTCACTTGGCCTTGTTTCCCCCTCTGCAGCAGAAACACCTGACACAGCAACATGTGATGGCGAGGAGGAGGATAGCTCCGATGACAGACATCGAAATGATCAGTGCCTCAAAGTTTACTGGAAAAGAAAATTAAATATAGATATGTATATATCACCGGAAAAAGTATATCAGGCCCACTGGTGTATTTCTCTCCCCTAAACCCTGCTTTCACACCAGACACTACAACTAACATTGATGTCTCCCTCCCCACTCACACCTGAGCTCAACCAGGTGTCATGACATCTCCCTCCCTCCCTCACACACCTGAGCACAACCAGGTATCATGACACCCTCCCTCACTCACACACCTGAGCTCAACCAGGTATCATGACATCCCCTCCCTCACTCACACACCTGAGCACAACCAGGTATCATGACATCCCCTCCCTCACTCACACACCTGAGCTCAACCAGGTATCATGACATCCCCTCCTCACTCACACACCTGAGCACAACCAGGTATCATGACATCCCCCCCTCCTCCCTCACACACCCTGGAGCTCACAACCAGGTGTCATGACATCCTCCTCCCTCCCTCACTCACACACCTGAGCACAACCAGGTGTCATGACATCCTCCTCACACTCACTGAGAACACAACCAGGTGTCATGACATCCCCCTCCCTCACACACACTGAACACAACCAGGTGTCATGACATCCCCCTCCTCACTCACACACCTGAGCACAACCAGGTGGCATGACATCCTCCCTCACTCTTTCACACACCTGAGCACAACCAGGTGTCATGACACCTCCCTCTCCCTCACACCTGAGCATCCTCCTCCCTCCAGGTGTCATGACATCTCCCTCCCTCACTCCACACACCTGAGCACAACCAGGTGGCATGACACACCTGAGCACAACCAGGTGTCATGACATCTCCCTCCCTCACTCACACACCTGAGCACAACCAGGTGTCATGACATCTCCCTCACTCTTTCACACGACTGAGCACAACCAGGTATCATGACATCCCCCTCCCTCACACACCTGAGCTCAACCAGGTGTCATGACACCTCCCTCCATCACACACACACCTGGGACAACCAGGTGTCATGACATCCCTCCCTCACTCACACACCTGAGCACAACCAGGTGTCATGACATCCCCTCCTTCACACACTGAGCACAACCAGGTGTCATGACATCCCCTCCCTCACACACCTGAGCACAACCAGGTGTCATGACATCTCCCTCCCTCTCACACACCTGAGCACAACCAGGTGTCATGACATCTCCCTCACTCACACACCTGAGCACAACCAGGTGTCATGACATCCCCTCCCTCTTTCACACACCTGAGCACAACCAGGTGTCATGACATCCCCCTCCCTCACACACCTGAGCACAACCAGGTGTCATGACATCCCCCTCCCTCACTCACACACCTGAGCACAACCAGGTGGCATGACACTTCCCCTCCACCACAGCCAAACACAAACACTGTACACTCTACTATGACAGATTTCCTCACCCACCCTTCCACACACCAAGACCCAGGACAACTCACCCCAGCAGACTCCCCATCTGGCCTTGGCCAGGTCACAGTTCCGGGGGACAATATCACCCACAGGGTACAACTTGCAGCTGTGGTCAGCATAGCAGTAAAAACACTGAAAGTTCAGCAAATAAAAACTTCTTGTCAGAAATTGAATGGGGTTTACAAGATTATAGCACTCATAAAGGAACGTTGGTGTCTGACTGTTGGGGCTATTCCAGACAATACCAGTTTTATCATGCTAGCCAGCTGAGATACCATGTTGCAGTTTGACACGAATAGACCACTCAGTCACAGTATACTGAGTCTTAGCAAACTGTCCTTGTTTGATCCTGTTACAGCTGAACACCAAGAAGGAAACAAGTTCTGTCTTTTAAGGTCATTTGATGTGATACAGGAGGAGATTGAGCCGACCAACCTTCTTCTCTCCAATCAAACACACTATCCACTACCGCCTCCATGGTGTAGTGGTTAGAGCGTCCGCCCGGAGAGCGGAAGGTCACGGGTTCGATCCCCAACCGCGTCATATGATCTTTGGTCATACAAAAAGACGTTAAAATATGGTACTTGTTGGTCCCATATTGCCATTAACACAGATCTTCTTCTTCCACACTCAAACTGTCCTTCTTGTTAGTGACTAAATGTAACACCAAACTGGTGTCTAATGATGGCGTTTCCCCTTTTGCTGGATACTATCTATCTGCTATTGTACACACTGTAACACCTCATCAAGGAAGGTAACATACCAACAAAATGCACTGGATACAAGAAATATCATTCATTTGAGATTTTCTCTATCAGGGATGCTGGAAAAGATCTTTCTTAATCCATCGCAAGGAAATAAACATATCTACATATACTTAGTTCCAAAAGAAACGTGACATTCATGTTTGTTTTTTAAATTGCCATAATTGTCTTATTTACTTTACAATCATAACGAATGTGCATGTTAAATGTTCTCTTAAACCAGTTTTCGAAATTAAACTTCTGAAACAAGACTTTTAACGTCAGATTAGCCGTAACAACTGAATCTAATTATTGAACATTTTTATGGAAAAAAAACAGAAACGCATCACATAAACGCATGCCCTGACACGTTGTGCACGTGAATTTAATGATACGACACTTTCGTCAAGAAAAACGAGAGAAAGAACCCTTTAAAATATGCGGCGGCAGTTTCTGTTGTGTTCTTTTTCTGAATGGTTCAGAGAACAATATGCCATGTCTGAGCAATGAAGCACGTCTCGTGCTCTTGGGATGATTGATGCTGTTTCCAGTGTTGTCAACGTTGCACAACATATGGGAGTACATCAGACGACAATTTACCGACTGATTGAATGCGAAAAATCAAAGCGAATTCGGTGGGAGATCGACCCTAAAGATGGCAGGCCACGAGTGACGTCACACAGGCAAGACCGTTACATCGTAAGGTCACATCTTTGCAACCGTTTTCTTCCAGCTACTGTTACAGACCATCAGACAATTGGGATTCACAACAGACCAATTTCAGGAAACACTGTGCGTCGACGTTTGCGAGCACACCGGCTACACTGTAGGAGACCCTGTGTTGGACCCGGCACCGTCATCTGCGCTTAGCATGGGCTCGCCAACATCAGCATTGGAGATATGCACAGTGGCAGAACGTTGTTTTCTCAGGCGAGAGTCGTTTTTGTGTGCACGTTGCAGATGGGAGAGTGAGAGTATGGCATCGACGAAATGAATGTTTCAGAGACCCATGTGTTCTGGAAAGTGACCGCTGGGGTGGGCCATCCCTTATGATGTGGGGTGGAATAAGCTGGGGAAGGCATGTACCACCTGTAATCTTCCAAAATAAGGGTCAAGGTCGTGGAAGGGGTGTAACTGCACGAGGCTACATTGACGAAGTCTTAAGGCCTGTCATCCCATTCTTTAGACCCAGACCACAGTTGCAGTTCCAACACGATAATGCCCGTGCCCATTATCACAAGACAATTCCTGGCAAATCACCACATCCAGAAAATGGTTTGGCCTCCTCTTAGTCCTGATTTGAATCAAGTGGAACATCTCTGGGACGAGTTGGACCGATGCCTTCGTCAAAGACCAGTTCCTCCACAAAATCAGCGGCAGTTGGAGAATGCAGTTTTGAATGAGTACAATAACATTCCCCGTGCTTTCATTTGACGTTTGTTCATGTCCATGGGAAGACGGTGTACTCGTGTGATAAACAATAATGGTGGTCATACCAGGTACTGATAACATCAAATATCAGCTTAAGCTTCTAAACGTGTCTAATGCAGACTCTTCAGGTTGGACACAATAAAAATTTCATCAGATCTTAAATCCACTGTCGTTGCAGTTGTCTTTTATCTTTCTTTGGTGCGTTCTGTGTAAAGCGTATAGTGGCAGAAAGCATGTATGTGGGATAACAGTTTTTATTTCAAATGGACATCTCACGTTTCTTTTTGAACTAAGTATATTTTCTCAATATATCAGTTGATTCAAATAGAACCACAAAATTTATTTTTGTTTGCACCACTGCTAATCTGTAATACCATGCAGTGATATACAGTGTTTGCCATGATGCAGAAAACCTGCGTATTTGACGCACAAATTATCTCAAATATGCTGTATATTTAGAAGCTTGCATCATTGTTGACGCAATGCTACGTTGCCCTTAGTTCAGATAATCTAAACTTCGGTTTCTCTGCACTGACTGTCTTTTAACTGCATGGTGCTGACCTGCCTTACCTTGTTTTTTGTCGTTATTAAACAATCACGCTTGATGTCTTGATGAAAGTTCCAAACTGAAGTTGACTCCCAAAAACATGTCCATGACTCCCTCTCATGACACCAGGAAGTCATGATGACTCCTAAATTTTTATGCCTAGGGCAAACATCGGATATAGATGTATATACTGTAAACGATATTATATTTCGCGCAGGTTTTATTTTTGCGCTTTTCGCGCAAAACATTTTAGCGCGAAAATTTATACACCGCGAATAAACCTGTCATTCATTCAGTCTAGCCACGCTCACCCCTGAGTTGTTACCATAATACATCAAGTTTGAAGACAGAAAGCTACGGGAATCTTAAAATGACGACTGATAGTAGCATAAAGAATCATACTTAACTGTCGCTGTAATGGATTTCCCAAAACATAATTAAATAATGAGCCAAATCCCATCGCTGAATTAGCGAAAACAGCAATGTGTGTTGTGGCCGCCATGGAAATTGGTCACATGACAGATGGTTTGATACAAAACAGATTACCATGAAACGACTCGGAAAGAAATGATACAGCAGTATTTTATTTATTCATTAAGATTTTATTTACCAGTACATCATGAAGCGAATAGTCACTTAACACTCAATCATCTCATTCACAACAACCCGGCTTGTTTGAAATCACAAAGAGCTTCATATACAGTAGAAGTTAATTCATCAGATCGTCAGAATTCGGAACATAAGACTGATGTGTTTTTCATCTCTTCCGTGAGTAAACGGATTACTGTGTACTAGTATATCGCACAGATAGGGATTTCCTGTGAGTAAGCAATAAACGCCGCCTGACAGGTTAAGCCACTCTGTTTGTTTTCACTGCTATTAGTGGCGGCCAAAGAGACAGCTGGCAGTTCCGGCAATTACTGATTGCGCGAATAATTGACCGCGCGATGTAGTCTAAACTGTCAATTCCGCGAAAATTGCACCACGCGAAAATAAGTATGCGTTTACAGTATATACCACTCAACATTGGTAAAGGATCAAAAATTTTGCTGTCCAAGATACAGTTACAATTGGAGTGGTATCATAATGATGAATTATCATTGTGAACTGTTAACCCATGAATTATACCATCCATGATTGATGTGATAACAACCGTATTTGTCGAACCAGTCCTCATTCAAACAAAGGCGTGGTCCTAAGCAAACATTGAGCAGTATATATTTGATTTAAATACATACCTTACTGTTGGCAGCACTGATACAGGCATCACAGGAACTATTGCTGGCAAGGCACTCTGGAATATAACAGATGGATATTGAAATTAATTGATTCTATAGTGTAACTATATGGCAATATAGTATTGTATCGCTAACGAAACAATACATAGATTTCCAACTGCTATATTGCAATACACAACTTCCATTTTCAGCCATCTCATTTCATGTACGAAAATAACTAGTCTTATATGCGTTGATATACAATATTCACTGGCTGTCTACAAAGAGAGGAATCTTCATACTGCTCCTAACCTAATATGTTTCGCTCTTTCTGTGCTATCTGAGATAATTAACAAGTGATTCAGGGTTGTGAGTCAACTGTAGAGAGGGAGAGAATATGAACCTCTGAAACTAAAGTACCATATCGGGATACAAATCTCATATTATCAGGATTATCTGGATACATATCATATTGTGGGCTCATCGTTGTTACACATCTAATTGACAGAATTGTTTAAACTAAAGAGGGTCCTAGGACCTGGTTTGTTGCTGTAGTCTTTGAAAGTTGGGATCTCTGAGACTCCAGTTTCAAACTGGTCCGACATGATGAACGAACAATGTATATAGCATCTTAACTAGCGGTTGTTGTGATCTCATTTCTTAGATAGAGTCTGCATTAGATATACAATAAAATTCTGATATAATTCTATAACAAATGGTTGCTATCATATACCTTTTCACTCCATATTGGCGAGATAACTCTCATTCTGGACATGATGCTGTCCCCTAAGGAAAGCTGCAGTAGTAAGAAACAGCACAAGGTCCTTGTTATAACCCTAATGTTAAAAGTTTAAAATTTAAAACGTTATGGAATACTCAGACTCACATACCATCAGGGTTCGACACTCATGCTTGTCCGCTTGCCCGTGGCAAGTACTAATTAATCAGGGCAAGTAAAATTCCTAAAAGGCTTGCCCGAGTGGCAAGTACATATTTTTTCAACTTCTAACCTCAATTCATTCATTAAAACTCTTCACTTGCTGTGTTTTGTTTGTCTAGTTCTTTCTATGCCATAAGTAACATGGGGCAAGTAGTATCTGTGATGGGCAAGTAGTTTAACTTTTCTACTTGCCCACTTGGCAAGTGGGAGAAATCAGTGAGTGTCAAACCCTGACCATTGGAGTAAACCTAATTCACTTTAGGACGCACCACCCTGTTAATCACATGTTAATTTCTAACAATATAACAAGATGTATAATTATTTTATTCTTGGTTAAATAACAAAATAAATTCTTTTGATCATTGTGTTAAGTATCACTGGCATTGTGTATTTGCTCCATGCAAAGGCAACTTTACCAGTTTTATCGCTAAAGATTCCTTAGAACTATTTATTGATGGAAGATATTAGAGGAATGATGAGACTTGAAATTCTCAACTTCAAATTGTCAGTATAGCACAATGGCAAATTTCAAAGAAACCTCAAGGTGTTCGCTATTTCCTGGCAATTTTATTCGGTCACAAATATTATGCATAATGTTGTGTTGTGTAAAGGTGCAACAACACACAGATATTATTTCTATCATATTGCTGGTAAAACAATAAGTCAAGTACACATGCTTCTGCCTCAGGAAATAGCAGGGCCTATCTAGGATTACAAACCAAGTGCAGGCAAACTGGGAAAAACGTTACATTTTTCAAAATTAGAGGGTATTTCAACATTACAATAGTGTAAAACTAGGCACTACTGGATTTTGATCCTCTGTATGTATCCTTTTATGACAGAATTATCATTAAGGGCAAATATAACTACATGAATGGGGAAATTTGTAATTCAAATTCGTGAATACTTATGGTAGTTACGACCAGGTCGATTATTAAGTACTTCAAAATACTCTAATTATTAAGATGCTTACAAAGCTGATATATTGAGAATGGAAGTGTTAAAGAACACACTGGCTCCATGTTCGAAGAAAAAAATAAGTTAGGGTCAAACTGCCACTTTTCTCTCACTGGATCTACCATTAAAAATCAAAACATTATCTGAAGCAATGAAACAATGACTGTGCCAATAACGAATATTCACCTACGACTATCTGGTATCAGTCATCTGCTGATCATAGCATATTTTTAGTAACTGCATGAACTGTCAACTGTCATGACGAATATACAATGCTATTACCATACTCATAACGATAATATAAGACGGCTGCCTAGTATTAACATTTTTGAACCACTGCAAACTTGTCATTAAAGTAAGTTTAAAATGTAACGACTGTCAAACATGTCACTAAGGATACCTTGCTCAGGGGTCAAAGTAGTGGTAGGTTGTGTTGTTGGGCTTGTGGTAGGTCCCGCAGTTGTCTTAACACTGGTGGTTGGTTGTGCAGTCGTTTTAGCCGTTGATGTCGATGGAGCTCCAGTTGACGAAGTTGTGGCCGACAATACAACAGCAAACAAAGTAACACTGACAGCAAGTGTCATCAAATAAGATCTGTTTGTCACCATTTTCACTTAATATTCTTCCTAGTTTTGTTTTGCTACGCCTCCGAAGAATCACCCTGTGAAGTACGTCACATCCGGTTGTTTACAACGTCATGGGTGTCAGCTGTCGCGTGATTGTTGGTCATTTAATATGATTCAACCATGACTTCAGTAAATATTGGATTGTGATTGGTTAATTAAAGTCATTCAGAGGTACAGAGTCGCGTTATACACCTCTGGTTTTCGTACATAGTATGTAATTTTTTAAAAAATCTTTAATAACGTGGCCATGGTAAAATGGAGATAAACATGCTGTGGAAAATCAGAGGTATATAACGAAATTATAACAGCTCTAAATATTTTATTTAGAGACATATAATTTCGTTATATACCTCTGATTTTCCACAGTTTATATTTAGAGCTATTATAATTTCGTTATATACCTCTGATTTTCCACAGTATGTCACAATTTCCACAGATTTTCCAGCAATATCACAGTGAGGGAAACCAGAAATGGGTTTCACACATTGTGCCCATGTGTGGAATCGAACCCGGGCCTTCGGCGTGAGGGGCGAACACTTTAACCACTATAGGCTACCCCACCGCCCTGGACACAAATGTCTTTATTTATGAAAGTAATGCCCTTTAGAGGAGTGCTATATGTGCACAATAAGCTGGTGCCCTTGGTGTTGACGTTATAAATGACTCAAACGGAGACATTGTATGTATATACTTGGGGTAATCGTCAATCGATATTTTGATTTATACAACTCAAAAGACGTTAAATAATTGTATACGGCTTCTGTAAATGTGTCACATGAATAAAAGCGGGCAATATGTAACTTCTCTTTGGAAGCATAGAGCTGTAGTTAAATTTCAGTTTGCAAACAGGTCTCCCTTAACTGTATGCAAACGTTTATCGTGCCCTTAAACCGTGTGTTATTCGGACGTTCACTCCCTCCACTAGTTCTGCCGAAGATACTGTGACTTGTATATGTGACGTGGCACATAGGCCCACTCGTGAAATTTATACACTTAAGACCATTATGGGTTTAGGGCAGCACAAACGTTCCCAACTTTCACCCACCTGGATTTCGCGTTTCCTGACTAAGCAATAGCTGTTGATCCCCCCAAGTATTTTCCAATCGTTTTTGCAGGGACATATACGTGTAGGTGTATGCTCAGTTGATATATATACTACGTGCATTATAATTCCTGCTAAAATAAGGACACCAATGTTTTTCAAAATAAACCCCCTAAAGGGGTTTCAGGGACTCACTTTCTGTCGATACCGGTGTGTGTATATTTGGTGTGTGAAACTAAGTATACTCATGCCAATAATGGTTGTCACCCCTCCCCAACCCCAACCCCACACACACCTCCACCCCACACACACTCTCTCTCCAATTAAAAAAATTGAAGGGGGTGACAACCATTATTGGCATGAGTATATTTGAATGTAATACTATAATTATACCGTTCGATACAATTTATAAAAAAATACACAGGAAACTTGAAAATGAGCATAAAATTATAAACGTTATTTACGTGAGTGAGTTCATTTTTAAGCCGCTTCTAGCAATATCATATTCCAGCACTATTACGACGGGAGTCACCAAAACACGTTCATACGCTGAAACTAGTACCGGAAACACTGAATTTGCAGACCAGAACACACAACTATGACACTTGTATGGTATCGAAATGGGTTTTTTGGTGTGTGTGTGCGTGCGTGCGTGCGTGCGTGCGTGCGTGCGTGCGTGCGTGTGTGTTATGACTAAGATCTTTCACTCTTTTGCAACATGACTTCTTTAAATAACTTGTACGCAGTCAATGTTTCAAAGATAGATTTATCTATAATCGTTATATATAATCACCAACTCGGTGTATGAGCCGGCCGGTCATGCTATCTGCCGTGCAGCAGGACTCCGTAAATTGTTTTAACAGGGCGCCTCTCATGATTACAGCCCCAAAATAACCAGAAGCAATACGCCTTAAAGCCTTGAGTAAACGCTTGTCCGACAGGAGTCAAGTTAATCCTTTTCGCTATTTTTTTTGACGGTCTTCGTTTATTTGTGGCTAACTAGTTATCTTGGCGAGGTCGAAATACAAATAAAATAGATTTGTGTATGGGAACAATATTCTTCTTATTTTTTCATTCACTTATTTAATTTATACTTTTACTTTTTCGATCAGTAGCTTAAGGGGAAATATATGCTAAATAGGTGCGGGATATTGAGTATTTTTACGCTGATATTCATAGAGTTTCTCATTGTAAGGCGATTGCAACAATAAGAAAATGCAAATATGCTTTGTTTGTTGTTATTACGACGAACCCTGCAAAATGGCCGATTGACATCATGAGCATCTACGCAAAATAGCATACGATGACATAGAGTCAACCCAGTCAGCGAGCCTGATTACTCGATCAGGGCCCCGTTCCTGAAAGCGATCGTAGCGCTAAGGTGATCGTAACTCCAATTCTTTAATAGACTTACGACTGTCGTAGCGCTACGATCGCTTTGAGGAACGGGACCCTGATTGGTTGCCTCTTACGTCAATCATGGGTTGTTACAGTTGATGCCATTCGTCACCACTCGCCCCTTTCCGTAAGCTATTCGGCTTGACCCGGATTAACACGAGTTGGTCACGAATGAGTTGATGCATTAGGACCCGCATCACGTGGGAGTATAGGCGAGTTGGAGTAAACGCCCCTGTGAACAGAATGCTGTATTACAGTTATATCACGGCCTCCACGCCACGAGAGTGAATTGTGCTGATAAACCGTGATACATATACTTGGGGAAAACAGGGATTCGAACCCACAATCACGGGTTTCATGGTCGCTCAGCTCAGCACAGCGAATTGCGTCCCCTCCATCCTCCGACCCTTATCAGCAACCCATGCTTGTCGTAAGAGGCGACTAACGGGATCGGGTGGTCAGGCTCGCTGACTTGGTTGACACATGTCATCGGTTCCCAATTGCGTAGATCGATGGTCATGCTGTTGATCACTGGATTGTCTGACTATTCTCGATTATTTACAGACCGCCGCCATATAGCTGGAATATTGTTGAGTACAGCGTAAAACTAAACTCACTCACTCCGACCCTTACACACGCACGTACGCACACACCACTCCCTTGAAGTTACTTTAAATCTCCCATTCATACCAAGTGATAAAAAATAACCAAAAATCTTCAATACATTAGCAGATCTAGCCTGTTTTGTCGAATCCGAAAAAGATCCCCAGAGTGAGTTATGGGCGACGCTGCGTTCTTTGAACGTACTAAATTCAGCCCTACCTAATCTACTAAGCTGATTCACTATTTCAGAAAATATCCTCCCCCTCAAGAATATGCCCAATTTTATTAATCAAAAACTGGATCATGTAAAGGCGACATAAACTACTTGTGTATACACGTTAAGAGCTAAACTCGTGGTTATACGGTCCCCGGAATAAACACTAAACAGCCAAACCTTTCCACGCATGGATATCTACAATATTTCTTTAATTTAGGTCTCAAGCCAAACTAACATCAAGTCGCGCACGTTTAATTTGTTGAGTTAAAATTTTCCTTTGATATATGTTAGAAAGAAGCCTAGAGAATCTTTAAAATTATCAGATGAAATCTAGCCTTACTAAAGATTCACGACTTGCATTGGAGCTTTCGGACATTTTGTTTCAGGGTCTGCATGAGAGACTTTAGTACACTTCAACGTCCACAGATTCTAACAGCTGTTTTATTTTCACATCAGAAGATGATACAAATTATTCAGTATCTTAATGTTTTCCATTCAGAGACTAAATGTAAGCCTAGCGTGGTATAACACGATATTCCCTGTGTTTGATCGCAGGGCTTTTAGACTTGGAACCAGATTAACTACCAAAGCTCGTAAACTACTTAATAGCTCACATTGGGCCACGAAGTGGAACTTTTCATCGTACTATACCATGCATAAACACTTCGACGGGTCCCGTTTCATCTTAACCGGGAATGTCAATCTCACCAGCCAGCACGCAATTTGCAGCCGTCCTAAATAATCACGTTAATTGCAATGTTAAGAGCAGCGGACATTGGGCAATCATACCGTGCAGCGGGTGTCCATCACATATAGACGAAGAGCTCTCAACATCGAGGCTATAGGGCTTTACATTTCACACAAGCGCAAACGGAGGAAGCTATTTTGAGCCGATATTTCACGGTCTAGATACAGCGAATAAAGCCGTGTGGTGACGTTATGTGTGGACTCGTCTCAAGTTCCTGCTAGATTTTCTCATGAACACTGTGGTACAGTCATCAACATGTTCTTTTCCTGTCGGATGATACTTCTGTTGTCTGCAGGTAGGTGTATATACTCTATATTGCCCGGGGTTGTCTATTTCACTAAGTTGCATATGTGACCTGCCGAGCTGGGATGAGAGAGCGAACAAACTTCCGCAGCAAGTTGTCAGTTTCAAGCTCATTGATGTACCTAGCACGAGTAGGTCACAACTCGGTGTAGTTTGGTTCGAGCTGGACGTTCGTCGTGTTGGTAGAAGCTCCAATACTGCTTCACTTGAAAGTTGTCTCTTTGTTATGTCAGTCAACAGATCGATTACGATGGGATCCCTGTCCGTATGGCCTGTTGGTGATTTTGTAAATAATAGTCCTATCAGCCTCGTTTTAATTATCGCAACGCAGCGGCTGGGTATGAATGGTGTTATTGACGAGCACGTCCGCGTTCGCGACAAACTACATCAATGCAGATACGTCTTCCCTCTCCTTGTCACGCATAATACGGTCTGTGCATGTGTAACGAACGATACAGTCATTCAGATTCTCAACAACGAGAATGACGTGTCTGCTACCCTCAACACAGCTGGCTGACCCTGAGCGATAAGGGGGGGGGGTGTCCCTTGGATCCCCACCCCACCCCAAATTGTGGATCCGACTACAGCGCCACGTGTCACATGTGTTCTTCAGCAAGCCGAATGTTGATTAAATAAAACTGCTTTTTATAACACAACGAAACACGAGTCAAAATAGAAATATAGATTTTCCCATCGTGTGTTGCCTTTTAAATGAGAGCTTTCCCCAACGCACACGCCCATTTGCTGTCAGTATAATGGGTATTTAAGTACCAAGTCATGTACATTTAGAGATAGGGAATAAATATCAATAAACCTACTCATAAGGGTCGGTGTAATACAACTACAGCATGCCTGACAACAGCGACGAGCGGGACAGTCTCTGAACCGTGATGCTTCGCACATTGCTTGAAATTGATCAGGGACCAGTCGTTTGATATTCTAGTGGAAGGAGGGAGTCTTTTATGGGTAAAATGATTTATATCGGAAAGAGATACAGTCTCTTATGGAAACCCGTCTGCACTCGCTAACTATAAGCGTCCCCAGTATAACAGAGATATTGAACAGAGTGACATATTAGTGGTACTTCACGCCTTTAGAATGACGACGTAGGAACACGAAGCTTAACGTGGTTTTTACTCAGTCATATCATATGAGGTTTTCGATTGCCACAAAAACAATAAGTTAATTGTACAGTTATTATTAGACAAGAATAATATTTGATGTTGTTTCAATCAGAGCCTCCATACATGACATGACATGACATTTTGTTATCTGTGACGGGAAAAATGAGACAATCTCTTTGGGACCCACAAAACATTTTTTTCAGGACAATTTCTAGTAAAATAACATGGTATGGAAAAGAATCTATATCTTCCATCCTTCAACCACAATTCCGTGACTGGTACAAATTCCGTTAGGAAAAGCTAGATATATTTACCCAACTGCCCAGCGTATTTAATTTCATATTTAGAGGAGATTTCTGTATTTACAAATGCTTTAGAGTGAGTGAGTTTGTTTTTATATTCACCCAACATCACGGCGGGGAACACCAGAAATGGGCTTCACACATTGTACCTGTCCCATCTGGGGAATCGAAACCAGGTCTTCGACGTGATGAGCTAACGCTTTAACCTCTAGGCTACCTCACCTACCCAAAAATGCTTTAGAGCAATTCGCGACTTCATTTGGTTTCGCGACATTTTCACTTCATCAGAGTTTCAACTTACAATTTCCAACTTTCAAAATACAATGCCATGTTTGATTACTCAGCATGTTTTCACCAATGGGACACAGCGACCTCAAGACGGGTAGTTACATTTATGAGTTACCAGTTTTCACACTTAATTTCTTGTCGAATCCGCGGTGCCTGAGTGGTTAGATTGCTGACCGTGTGTTTCAATAGAGGCCTTACTGTAGTGGTTCGAATCCCGGATAGGACCTAACAAAAGCACTAGTATCTGTACCTCACTGGGAAAGTGTAGTCCCAAGTACAGCACGTGATACTGTCTAGGTTCTTTAATTAGAGACAGCTAGTTTCAAGGCGGGGGAGTTGATGAGTTACCAGTCTGTCTGGCTTGATGGAAATAACCCTTGGTTCAGATACTGCTCATATGTGACATTATCTCATGTCGCCGTAGATACATGTAGACACTATTACATATACAAAGGCTTGTCAGTGAAACATTATTACATCCTGAAAGCAGGCCTTTGTCGAGCGAACCTGATTTATGAAGCTGGCGATGCTGTTTTTTTCACTCAGCTCGACTTGATGTAATCTGTCATACCGACCCTGAAACAAATATACCCAGTGCAGCCCATGCAAGTCTAGAATGTGTGGCAAGTCTAGATTACCGCTATTTCTGGTAATGAAAGTCTCTGCGCTCCTTTTAATTATATTTTATTGATTATTTTTTATCAGTTGTTTTCCCTGTAAAATATGTTCATTTCAGAGACTAGATGTTAGTCTAGTCTTCATGCTCACGATGGAGATATATGTATCGCTGAAGCTTGGTGAGTGAAAATCGCGGTTAGAGATTTACTGACTAGAACTATAAGAACATTTAATCTCCGGAGTTTTGATTATGATGGTCGGATCTGTGAAGACTGTCATTACCAGATACAGTTCAGGGGGTTTGATCAACCAATGGTAAAGTTGTTTTCTGCAAACGGAAGTCACATTCTTGTCCTGTTTTGTTCCAGTTGAGTGCGCAGCCTCCCTCCAGTGCTGGAAGTGCATAGCAGATAACTGTGAGGAGGACCCGGATGGAAACTACAAAGCTGTGAAGATGACCTGTGCCTCGGAGCGGAGCTCTTGCATGGTGAGATTCAGCGACTTGGCCCTTTACATGGCGAGTCACCACTGGGCGAGACTGGTTTATTTGCCCGTTTGTGAGATTTGTTGTTTAGACACCTATGTGGTGAGAACGTTGTTAACCATCCCCTTCATGGTGAGAATGTTGTTGACCCGCTCCCCTTCATGGTGAGAATGTTGTTGACCCGCCCCCTTCATGGTGAGAATGTTGTTGACCCGCTCCCCTTCATGGTGAGAACGTTGTTAACCACCCCCCTCGTTGTGAGAACGTTGTTGACCCGCTCCCCTACATGGTGAAAATGTTGTTGACCCGCTCCCCTTCATGGTGAGAATGTTGTTGACCCGCTCCCCTTCATGGTGAGAATGTTGTTGACCCGCTTCCTTCATGGTGAGAATGTTGTTGACCCGCTCCCTTCATGGTGAGAACGTTGTTGTTGACCGTTGCTCCCCCTCCTTCATGGTGAGAATGTTGAGAACGTTGTTGACCCACTCCCCTTCATGGTGAGAACGTTGTTGACCCGCTCCCCTTCATGGTGAGAACGTTGTTAACCACCCCCTTCATGGTGAGAACGTTGTTGACCCACTCCCTTCATGGTGAGAATGTTGTTGACCCGCTCCCTTCATGGTGAGAACGGTTGATGAACCCGCTTTCATGGTGAGAATGTTGTTGACCCGCTCCCCTTCATGGTGAGAACGTTGTTGACCCGCTCCTTCATGGTGAGAACGTTGTTGACCCGCTCCTTCATGGTGATGTTGTTGACCCGCTCCCTTCATGGCGAGAATGTTGTTGACCCGCCCCTTCATGGTGAGAATGTTGTTGATCCACCCCTTCATGGTGAGAACGTTGTTGACCCGCCCCCTTCATGGTGAGAATGTGGTGAGAACGTTGTTGACCCGCTCCCCTTCATGGTGAGAATGTTGTTGACCCGCTCCCCTTCATGGTGAGAATGTTGTTGACCACCCCCTTCATGGTGAGAATGTTGTTGACCCGCTCCCCTTCATGGTGAGAACGTTGTTAACCACCCCTTCATGGTGAGAACGTTGTTGACCCGCCCCCTTCATGGTGAGAATCGTTGTTGACCCGCTCCCTTCATGGTGAGAATGTTGTTGACCCGCTCCCCTTCATGGTGAGAATGTTGTTGACCCGCTCCTTCATGGTGAGAATGTTGTTGACCCGCCCCTTCATGGTGAGAATGTTGTTGACCCGCCCCTTCATGGTGAGAATGTTGTTGACCCGCTCCCTTCATGGTGAGAATGTTGTTGACCCACTCCCTTCATGGTGAGAATGTTGTTGACCCGCCCCCTTCATGGTGGTGAGAACGTTGTTGACCCGCTCCCTTCATGGGTGAGAATGTTGTTGACCCGCTCATGGTTGACCAATGGTGAGAATGTTGTTGACCCGCTTGTTGACCCTTCATGGTGAGAACGTTGTTAACCACCCCTTCATGGTGAGAACGTTGTTGACCCACTCCCCTTCATGGTGAGAACGTTGTTGATGGTGAGTTGACCCGCTCCTTCATGTTGTTGACCCGCTCCCCTTCATGGCTCCCTTCATGGTGAGAACGTTGTTGACCCGCTCCCTTCATGGTGAGAACGTTGTTAACCCACTTCCGTTGTTGATCCACTCCTTCATGATGAGAATGTTGTGGTGATTGTTGACCCACTCCCTTCATGGTGAGAATGTTGTTGACCCGCTCCCTTCATGGTGATAATGGTGTTGATCCACTCCCCTCATGATAAGAATGTTGTTGATCCACTTCCTTCATTGTCAGATGTGAGAATGTTAACATGCCTCCTACATGGTGATAATGTCGTTAACCTGTTGCTGGTGATCCCCCCCCAACCTCTCCACCCCCTTCACTGGAAGAATGTTGTTGAGTTGGATGTGTTTTCACCCCCACCCTAAATTCAGAATATCAAAATATCCAATGTCATATACGTCTCACCACATTCATATTTTATACCTTCTCTGCTGTGTTGCAGAAAGTGGAGTACTCGTTGGACCATAACCACACAGGCAACATCCGCAGGTCTGTGGTGAGAACCTGCTCTGCTGGACCATGCGTCCCCGTCACAGACAACCAGTTTTCTGACTGTGCCACCAAAAAGAACCACCACGTGCTTGGCTGTATCAAACGTCAGTGTTGTGACGACAGAGATATGTGTAATGGCGGACGTAGTGGCGTCATCAATGTAGGGATGTTCCTTATTCTCATCTCTGTAAGTTTTATTGGACATATATTGGATCATTAACGGACTGTCTCCCACGTAATGACTACCCGGCCTGTCTCGCTTGACGTCGGCCAGCACGATTCTATATTGGAATTATTTTCTGTGATCCTAATATGACAGTTCAATTTTTTTACGTTTGGTTTTTTGTTTTCAAATGGAAGTGTACATCTAATTTCGGTTCTGCGCGGAACAGCGTTTCGTTTAAAACGGATTTCGTGTTCTACGGACTATTTTCATGGGCTCCGGCGACGGTTTACCGTCACGACGCCATTAATAGCCGAGGTTGTTAGCGGATTAACCCGAGCAGGTCCGAATGGGGTTATGACTTCACAGAAGTGAATACAAACTTTGCAAAACGGATCCGAAAGGACACCATTCGAGAACGGAAAAGAACAGTGCATCAGTTATTTGCCTAGAAGGAAGAAGGATCATGCAAAACCAGGCTTCTATATGTGTTCGTAAAGTGCTCATTATGTAAAGCATGTATATACTTGATGTGACCATTGTTTACCGATTTTAGTTTCCCAGATCTCTTAATTTATTGGTGTTCATGTATTACAAAAAGGATCCTTCCTGTATTACAATACGGATCCGGACTCTCCACCGCCATCTGGTGCCTATCTTCAGAACTACCATTTAATCAAGGTTCTGTGCTTTGAGTGTCCATAGAAACCATAGACACGGCGCAATGGGAAGTATTAATAATCCCACTCAAATGTAATATATAGCTGGCAAGTGCAGCCTTATTGATATCCGGTCATAGAGCCCGCTGCCGCTTTGTGCAGTTAACCTGGATCTGATATTAAGTGATTACAGCAGGGGTGGGGTGGGGGGATGATGATGATGTGTAACGTGCGTCAGGTGCATGTGGTAAGCGTCTCTCTCTCTTTCTCTCCTCCCTCTCTCTCTCTCCCTCCTCAAAGCAAGCTGTTTGTCGGGACTGTTATTTTAGTTCATAATTGAGAGAGTCACTGAGAGAGTTGTCCGGATTATGGAGCAACCCGGTTTACAAAGAGTCCGGATTTGACAGACTCCATTGTTTATCCAAAGCCACTGACATATTGCTTATCGAATGCTTAACCTGCACACACGCACCCTTTCATAAAACGGACCCCGCATTTGCATTTGGTACACCCTCGATTATCCAGTATATCGTACTTTAATTCTATTATGATAAATAATATGAAGATATGCACCGGATAACCGGGTATCTAATCTGGCTGATGGTGTGCAATCATATACCCAGAGTGAATTGGTGAAACTTTCCAACACTCACTGCTGTGTATTGCTTAGATTAATTTCTTCTGTCATCAATGTGGTATTTTTCACTATGGCCTGAAACCCACCATCCATTTATGCCCACAACCCATGTATCTGCCGACGTAATTTCCGTTAAACCTGGCCATGCACGCGCCCTCTCTTGGCAGATTGCTATCGACGTTATACCACCGAGATGCTACATCCGGGACTTCGCGGTCGATATCAGTGTCGTTGGGACGTCACGATTGATTTGTTGAAATTTAATCCCTGTAATGGGTGTTCGTGAAGACAAAGCGAACTCTTCGACAGAGTGCTGTGCTAAAGGACTGTTAAACCAAATCTGGGCCCGGTCGATTGGCGGTCCCAGAAAATTTGATTAAGGAATCCACAGCGCTTTTTGTCAGACTGTAAGTGATTCTTAATGGTGTATATTATACCGCTGCAATTACCATGTACCGAGAGTATGCCTGGCATGGCTCTTTGGAATCGGCCTTTGGGGTATTCAAAGATACATATTCCATATCCTCCTGCTTATTGCAGTTGATTGTTGGCATTGTTGCCAAACATTGCCTCCAGTAGCCTTTAGCAGACCGGTTGTCAAGGAGAATTCCAGGATCACTGAATTCCTGGCATATATATTTCCAGTACTGAAACCCAACGTTGCCTATCGTCCTGTTAATGAAATTGCTCGTATCAGAGATGATATGCCGATCTATCGATACCAGGTCACTGCCTCTAAAAACACAGAACACAGTTAAGGCTTTATTGAACACCTTTGCTTCTGCTCGAACCGCCGTTTGCTCTCAATTTTTATAAACAGTCCTTAAGATGATTAACTACTGTTAAAAACGACTCTTTCAACTCAAATTTAATCTTTGTACGTGACTTCATCACACGTCATACTATTCACGGTGTGTGAGACTCACGAGGGAAGCTAGCTTCTGACCGGGCACTTGATCCACAGGGGGCGTCACAGGACATAGAATTGTTTTCTTTTTGAATTTCTGACTAAATTGATTAAAATCTGCCCCCCCTCCCCGAGCGATTTTACGTGGCCTATTACCCCGAACGCACTCACTTTATTACCTCTTACGAATACTTTTAAGGACATATGCTTTTCACTCTGTTGTAGAGGCAGGTATGTAAAATTTGCATGGTTATTTCAACGGTGAGTGCATTTTGTCACTTATAGGCACTTACGAATACTTATCTAGTATATGAGGATCTAAAGACAGGAAGGTGGCCATCCTGGTCTCTGCTAAAAGTATCCTCCTACCACATATCTGTTGCTCTTACAACTCGTTTTTCCCATGACTAGAATAGCTGGGAAATAAATAGGCAATCTGGAATACCCCGGAGAGAGGGCTCGATCATAGTGACCGGTCTGACATTTTCCGATTTAACAGAAATGTTTTCCATTAGTTTTCTGATAAGCTGAAGCCAGAAGAAAATTTGGCTCGTCTGTTTGCTGGAAGTACTAAATGAGTGTCTATATAGCTTTGTAGGGAATGCTGACGTCAGTAAGGTTGCTATTCGTTCACTTGACTTACTTACGTCTAGAGCAAATCTGTGTTAATATAGTAAATATAGTTTTGTATCACCTCCGAGCTAGGTGTAAAATATACTCCGGGAGTTATATGATGATATTACTCACATCAAGATCAGGGGCGGTGGGGTAGCCAAGTGGTTAAAGCACGGGCTTGTCACGCCGAAGATCCGGGTTCGATTCCCCTCATGGGTACAATGTAAGAAGCCCATATCTGGTGTCCCCCGCCGTGATATTGCTGGGATATTGCTAAAAAGCGGCATAAACCATACTCTCTCACAACAAGATCCATTTTAGAATTGATCTGCAGCAACCTTTGCTTGTAACCACTTGGATCTGTTGATGCATGTTATCGTATCCCAATTACGTAAAAAGGGTGCTCACAATGTCAATCACTGGATTGTCTTGTCCAGGCTCGCCTATTTAATTGGCGGTCATCAAACACCGCTGTGTCAAACCATGATGTGTCGAAATCACAGTTGACTCGAAAGTAAAAGCTAGGTCCTTGTTAGTCACCATGTTGCGTTGGTGTCGTAATTCAGATAACTCGAAGTACTTTAAATACACAGGTCCCTTCAACCGACACATCGACTGTAGCTGGAATATTGCTGACTGCAGCGTTAAACACCAAACAAACGAACAAACACATTAACGTGAACAAATGCGTCCCCTTAGCACATTATAATCATGTGTGTATATTTACTAAGGTAAATCTGTGTACATACGGAAGTAACATAGTACATTCGTTCGCGGTATAGTGTAAGCTCTAAGATAATAAACCACTTCATTGACACTTGCTATGACAATACATATGGCCTATGTAACCGGCATCATTACTCCAGTTCAACATGCCCTTAATCACTTCAAACTCGTATCAAATGCGTTATCAAATTTGTTTCTAAAGTAGATGATAACAGCTTATAATGCGTTTTCATCGTGTTATCTGGTTATCCGTGTATGTTTGAGTTGTTGAAGTTGGATAACATTTATGGTATTTTACACACCAGTTACACGATTATTTTTTGTGAAGTTTAAGCTCAATTTATGCCCAAAATGTTTTGTTTGTTTCTTTGAATAAATTCAGATTTTGTAGGAAATGTTTTTGTTGATTCGTAAAAAGAAAAGAGCTGATCTTAGCGCTTAGAAATCTTTGCTCAGGTATTGAGAGTCGAAGATGGCTGACGAAGCCCAGGTGGATCACCTCGACCAAATCAACTGTTGATACGTGGTGAGAAAAACACATGTAGGAATCAGGACGACGTGCCTGCATGTGTATGTGTATGTGCGGCTGCTTGTACTAGCACAGACTTAAGCTGGTTTTATAGTGCCAGCCCACTGAGATACCATGCCGCAGTGAAGCATGAATACCCCACTCAGACACATTATACTGACTCCGAGCCGACCAGTCCTTGTTGTACCCATTAATGCCGAGCGCCGGGCAGGGACCAACAAGTACCATATTTTAACGTCTTTTGGTATGACGCGGTCGGGGCTGGTGATAATGACACTATAACACGTTGTAATAACTCACATTCTACTTTATCTGGTCTTTGGCATGATATTTGCAACATGACTATACACCCGTGAAGAACCGGGTGAGAAATGGTCTTATTCAGCCCATGCTCGGATCGTGTGTGTGTGTGTGTGTGTGTGTGTGTGTGTGTGTGTGTGTGTGTGTGTGTGTGTGTGTGTGTGTTTTCTCTCTCCTCTCCCCCCTCAAAAAAAATAAATAAATAAAAATAAAATAAAATAAAATAAAAAATAAATAATAAAAAAATGTAGTACATGCTTTGCCTGCTCTGAAAGATTTTGTCAAACACGGGTTACGGAGTTTATGCTAAAAATAAATTAGATTGTGATGTTTATTGAATTTAAAAGTGTTATTGGTCTTCAATATCGTAACTAGAGTGTCCCTCAAATGAATGCCTTTATGGTTAAAAAAAGAGTCGGAAAACATTTCACTGTCACGTAGACTGTGTATATATATAGCAATGATGCGTGCAAGACGCAGCTCCTTGCACCAACTGGTAACATACAGATAATTCAGTGATGTCACAGGCGCTGTAACGAGCTGAAACTGAAAGTATGTTAGAATGGCCATGCTGTCATCATAATGGATGAACGGAATAGACGTTATAGCGCAATATTACGTGCGTTTTCAAGCGCTGCTGAGATAGGATGGCCAGCATTGAAATTCCAAATGTCTTTAAGAACTCAAAGTGTGCTGAAACAGTACAGTTTACCATTGAAGCCTATCAGTTTCTCCAACTTCATTACTGACAAGAATTTCATGTGAGTTATCATAGGCGGATCCAGAGAGGGGTGTGCAGGGTGTGCACACCCCATCCCCCTTTGTGCTGAAAGTTTTTTAAATGACCATTGAAACTCGGGTGAAAATGAAGTGTGCACCCCTCCTTTTCTCAATAGTGTGCACCCCCCCTTTCTCAAAAAGCTGTATCCGCGCCTGGTTATATCCAGATGATGCACCAACCAATGTTAGACCAGTGTCGTGTGTAGGTGATGGGAACTGCTTTTTAGATCATTGTTACAGAATTTTTTTTGGTGATGAAAATCAGCACCATGAATGTAGAACTAGGGTTGTATATGGACTGGTAACACGTGACAGGTTTTATATTTCAGATCACAACCTGAAACTTATGTCTGGATCGTCTGCTCAGCAGACGACAAACCTGCTAGAACATGTAATTTATACCTCAGCATCAGATGATACTATTTCAGGATCAAATTTAGCCGTCACTTACCAAAATGAGGTTTTGAAAAGCGTTAATTCTGGTATATACTGCTCTTAATTGCATCTGTATGCTCCCTGCAATTGTTTTCAAAGGAGATTGATTTCCATCTATCCCCAAAGGGAAAATGTGGCGGTCAATAGAAGTGTCATGCACGAGACATTAACTCCAGTGTCGGGGACATTTGATGAAGCATTAGACATGCACATTATGTGGACACCTATGACAAATGCCAGTCTCTCACAGTGGAACCCCAATCATTTTGTTTCGTGTGTTCAGTGTCGTGAAGATCATGAGGAAGAGTCTTGTAATCTCACCGATCAATTGGACAATTCTGATTCAGATCATCCCTGGAAAGAAAGTCCAAATGAAGATTCTGAAATTCCAATATCCGACAGGTTAGCTGATGAATCAGCCAGAATCTTTGATGACATGCCTGATGTTCAAACATGTCTCGAGGACATGGACGCCCCTGACACAGAGCCTGAATCTAAATAGTTTAAAGCATCTACCGGGATAGACATATATGATGTCGATGACATGGTATCAGGGAGTAAAATTATCATCGATGAGTGATACTGAGAAACTGAAGTACCTGAAGGAACATTTTACTCCAGGTCCCGACTATGAAGCCATTACACAGGCAAAGAAAAGACCTGGACAAATCAGATCCACAACCCTTGTGTTTCAGAGATCGTGGCTTGACAGATACAAGTGGCTAGTCTACAGTCCTTCCCTGAGAGGAGGTTTGTGCGAAATGTACATTTTATTTCCACAGTATCAGAAGGGTGATAAGCGCAAAACAGTTAACACATTGATCAAAATACCAATGACAAATCTCTCCAAAGCACTTGGAAAAGAAGGCTTTTTAGAGACTCATCACAACAGTTCATATCACAAGCAAGCTGTGGAGACTGTGACTGACGTTTTAGAACTACAAATAGCCCCAGAAAAATCACTTCCTTACAAAATGTCCCACTTAAAACAGGAACTGTATGACGACAACTGTTACATTTTAGAATGTATTACAGAGGCAATCGTGTGTTGTGGGAGACAAGGGATATCTCTTCGTGGACACCGTGATGACAGTACGTCAAAAGACCCAAACAAGGGCAATTTCCATGCAATTGTATCTGTCATTGCAAATCATGACTCAAAACTGAAAACCCATTTAGAGTTTGACTTGAAAAAATGCAAAGTATACAAGTAAAACCGTCCAAAAACGAACTCATCAGCACTATGGCTGAATACATCCGAAAAGACGTTGTAGCACAAACTGAGACTGATCATGCTGTGTTCTCCATCATAGCCGATGAAGTCACCGAGGAGTATGTCAATGTAGAACTGTTACCTTTGTGTTTGAGATATGTTGACATAAGAGACATGTAGATCAAAGAGTCTTTCTTTGACAATGTTCAGCTTGAACGTACCACCGGGGAACACATTTCTAATGTCCCTGACAGACAACGGAATATATATATAACGCTGTCGTGGTCAAAGTTATGATGGGGCTGCATGTATGTCATCAGAGGCTGTTGGTGTACAGGGTCGAATCAAAGAAAAATGTCCAAAGGCATTGTACACATATTGTGCCAGCCATTTGTCTTGAACCTAAGCATTGCTGCATCATGTAGACTTCCTGCTGTTAGGAACATGATGGACAGTATAAACCAAGTGTTCATATTCTTTGATAAATCACCCAAGCGCCAGAGATTACTTGAGCGTGTATTATATTTGGATGAGACACGCGAATCTAAAAGAACCCGTTTATCAGGCTTCTGTAAAACAAGGTGGATTGAACGGCATACCTGTTTTGAGGTTTTCTCTGAACTGTATCCTTATGTATGCACGGCCCTTGAGGCTATCACAGACCCATTCAAGTATGAGGATGTTTATAAAGGTGAACACTGGAACTGATAGAGAGACAAGAACAAAAGCCAATGGACTTCTAAAGTTCTCAAAGACCCCACACACATTATTACTTTTGTTGTTTCAAAAGATGCATTGGAAACTGTTAGACCATTGGCATCGAAACTTCAGAAGAGAGGTTTAGATATTTTCTGTGCATTCAGAATGATTGATGAGAGAAAGGCAATGGCCCAAGACATGAGAATGTCAGTCGATGACTTATCAACAACTTGGATGAAAGAAGCAAGTGACATTGCTGAAGTTGTTGGTTCTGAGATACAGACTCCCAGGGTGACAAAGAGAATGACACACCGAGACAACACCCCATCAGACACCCCTGAAGTGTACTATAACAGGACCATCATCATCCCTTTTATTGATCATTTGAACATTGCACTGCACCAGCGGTTTAAACCTGAAAACAGATGCGGGGTTGATCTCCTGTCTCTTCTTCCTGACGTCATAGTCGACGTGGTAGATCTGGAGAGCTTGAAATTCAAACTGATGTTCTGGGAGGATGATCTGCCAATGCCAGTTGCTGTATCATCAGAACTAAGAGAGTGGAAAGCGTACTGGGAAAAGCACACGGTGCGCCCTGAGACTATCATCGGCTGCTTTGTTTCAGCTGATATTGATGTCTACCCGAACATCAGACAGCTATTGAGAGTTGCTTCAACACTGCCAGTCACGAGTGTAGAGGCAGAGAGAACATTTTCCTCCTTAGGGCAGGTCAAGTCACACCTGCAATCTACTATAGGTCAGGGAAGACTAGCTGGACTCACACTGTTGAAAATGCAAACATGTGATGTTGATCTTAAAAGTGTTGTTCAGAAACACAGACGGCGTCTGTTCGAAGGGTGCATCCTATATCAGTAGATTCAAAGATTGTCCATGGGGTATATAGACAAGTCACATTCACTGACTACTGTTCATTCATGCTTTGTTTGAAAACCTTAGGATCATATATGGTCTAAGCTCAACAAGTAACCTTACAGTTTGGATTTGAACACATAATTCTAAGGTCATTTCTAACTTTAAATCCAGTTATAAGCAAACTTGTTTTGTATACAACTTTGAAAATCAAACTGAAGTTGTTAAGATTAATCACTTCTTTTCTGAGTAGATACATGTCCTCCATGTAACAATATCACGTATGGTCCACATGGTACCCGCTGACTGCTTGAACGCTTCTGTACAAACGTTCCTCAATCCAAAGGGACCATTTTAGTACATATAAACGAGATGTAAGACACTTAAGTTAAGAGCACCATCCTCAGAACCGAAGGTATTGTATATATTGCCGCTGCCTCCGATCATATGTAATGGAATAGGTATAGTCTATAATATATGCCCTGGGTTCCGAGGGTTCTTTAAGCAATATTCCAGGGATATCACGGCGGGGGACTCAGAAACGAGCTTACAAGATCATACCCA